ATAGAGTATAAAATATAAATACTAAAATACCAATACCACAGATTTCTAAATAATACATTAGCATGAATTGGAGGGATAATAGTGTAAATACCAAAATACCTACTATGAATTGCAATAGTTTAAGATATTAAAAATAATACCTTCGTAGGTATTTGATTTTTAATATACCTATTTTATGCTTCATTTATAAAAATATAATTTTTTTTTGTAATTATATTGTTATAATTATAGCGGCCCTGCCGGCCCTCCCAAGAACCGGCCCATCGGGAAGATTCCCGATTTCCCGATAGGCCAATCCGCCCCTGGCGCCGCCACTTATATCTGAAGTTCTACTGGACCGATTTTCATGATTTCTTTTTCTAACGCAAGTACTCGGTGTGCAGATGAGCCATCAAAAGAGAAAAGTCCAAAGAATAAATTATTTAAATAGTTATTAGAAGTATTAAGTTTGCCGTATAGTTGCAAAGCGGCATTCGTTGACGACGACGGCTGCCACCGGTATAAAGCCCCACTACTCGTACGTCTACTGCAGTACTGTAGCATTGTCGTCGACGTCAAATGTTAAATTTTATAATTTGTCGTTCGTTATCGTCTTCGTCGTTGAATAAAAACACAACTATTTTCGATTTCGTCATTTCGGGTACAGCAGAGAACGCTGAACTCATTAAAATTATTATTATTAATATACATTAAAAATGGAATAACTATAAAAATGTGAAATAAAAATCTCTGTACAGGCCATGATTAAAGATATACCTAGATATATCTTTAATCGTGGACCGTGGTACAGACTAAACTCTGGAACTACTTATCAGATCTCCTTGATTTTTTTTTTTAAACATAAGAGTATTTCACAGAGAAGGCTTATATGAAAGAAAATTTTAGGAAAATCCACCGGTGTATAATAAATAATAATATATTGGTTGCTAATCACTTGCTATATTGGTTGATCGGGCATGTTTGTCGATTTGTATTATTATCTTTGTTCAATATACATAATTATATATAATATATACAAGACGATCTGATAAGTAGTTCCAGAGTTTATAGTCTGTGTATTTCTTATTTTATCTGGGAAGAAGATAAGTTAATTTACAAAGGGTTAATTTTTTTTTTTATTCATAGGATTTTAGTAACGTTAGGTTAGGACAGGCCGATAGGGTTTTGTATAAACCGATTATATTAATCCACCGTAGGTGGAATCAAGTAAAAACGACAAACTTGGTATAATTTTGATACTTTAGAGTAAAATCATACACTTACGTACAAACTGCACGGGGTCCGCGATCTACAGCAGGTAGATTGCCTACTTGATAATGTACTGCTGCGAATCAGAATTTTTATTCTGGGCAACGGAAAGTTAAGATACATTTTGAATACCACACACCGATTATTAAATAATGAATTGAACAAAGTTTGAGTCATATAGAGATGATACATTTAACGGGAAACGAAGTGCACGGGATCAGCTAGATATTTATATTAGTAGTGAATACTGAATTGCGGTACCGGGTGCATGCACAATTATTATAGATTGGCAAACTGAAGGCCAAGGTGGTAAGAACGTCTGGGCCAATTGTAGATAATAAGTGTTCAGGGTGTGCGCACTGCACCAACCCAAATGGCGCCCCTGACTCCCCCCCCGTAAATACAACACTGAAGTGGTATACCGTTTCACCTTTCTATTTAAGTGCTCACAAACAAAAGTACAGTTTAGACTTTAGAATGAAGTAGATTTTTACTATATAGTATATTATATATAATATTATATATAGCCATAATGTTATACTTACATAGTTACATCATTTTCGCATCATAGCACTCCCTCCATTTCATCCGGGTTGTGCCAAGGTGTTGCCCATATTCTTGAATTATATTATATATCTAGAGAACTATAAATAAATAGGTACCTAACTCAATCAATGGTATGACAAATATAATTTTATTATTGTATATCGAGTATTGTATATACTGTATGGTAGCCGGTAGGTATTCCCTACGTACACAGAAATTAGGTGAACTATAATTTACCATAAGTCAAGTTATACTGAGGAATAACAACTTTATTGTACACTTTTTATTCCAATATATTTTAAGCATCAGAAATTTTTATTATACTTACTCACTAGTCACTACAACGCTCAAATAACTTAATAACATATATAATATTTAGGTTTTATTTTATACCTATAGGTATAGTACATATTATTATAAATTATAGTATAAAATATGAATAATTATGTTTTAAAACGTTCCTACAGTAGTCAATAAGTATCCCTATTCACTTTACATGAATATCACGTTATTAAAAATTATAATACATTGCAAGTGGTAAATACTAGTAATGTACCTATATAAAACGCGGAGCATAATAAACATTCGAATCCGTGCCGAATGTATTACTGTATTTACATAAATCCAGTCATGGACACTCAACTTAACAGCCTGTTGGAAAATTAATACTTACCAATTGCATTTATGAGTATGTACCTAATTATAACATAGCATGTATAGCTTCAGTGGCGTACACACTGGGGGTGTGTCTTGGGTGTCAATACCCCTTTGGCCCTTGCCTTTTTTTCACTACGTATATAAAAACGTGAGAATTTTTTATAAATATATATACTATGTCATATACTTATTTTTTATTTAATATAACCATAGAAGGTAGGGGGTTTATTTAAACCTCTCTCAAATTAGATATTTCTGTGTACACCACTGCACAACTTATCGAACTATTGACAAACATACCAGGAAAACCCGAGATAAAAAGGTAGTTGAAACTCGGATGAAATAAATAAATAATCATTAAATAACAACAACTGTACTTACTATATTTCTATTTTTTTTTTTAAGTAAAAATGACAATAGAAACATTAAGGCTCAAGGACATATTGGGTAAACACGTTTCTAACATATTCACGTGTTTAAATCATTGATTTCGCACCACTGAACTCAGTCCGTATTTGTCCGAATATTATAACTCGGAAAATAATTAGTAACAGGCAGTGCACTCTAGTGGCACACGAACAGAAACGTTAATATTGACGTTTCAGCTCGCAGACCACACCCTGAAATTTTTTTAACAAATTCCTCAGGGTAAGGGCACTAGGGCATTAGCCATCAATTATTAATATCACCGCCAAATAAACTAATTTACATTTTTTAAATTTTTACACATTTGTTTACATTTAAAGAAACTATTTACCCAGAATGTCTTAATACTTATTGAAATTACAATTTGTACGATTATTTTGAGCCGCTAAAGCCAACTATTTTATTTATTTTAATAGTGAATTTGCTATAGTGGTAGAATTATTAATGAATATTATATTATATTTTTCAAAAAAAAAAATTAAATTATATTATGTTATTATATTATATACTATATAATAATAATATTTAACATTATCTTAAAATTACAAAGAAAAAATTTGTCATACATGAGAATTGTTGGTTCTGAAAATTAAAGCCGTTGGCAGTGTTTAATTTTTGATCAGAAACGAGTTTGTACATACAAGATAGAAATTAAAGAAGGTGTAGTTTAAATTTATTTAACAACAACCCCCTCCAAGGATACTTTTTAAATTGAATTCTACCACGTAATAAGTTGTCTGAATTGTATAATTAAAAAAAGCATTTATTAAACGGCGTCATTAGTGAAATATTCCTAAAATACAAGGTGTGGACGGGTGGAGAAATAATAACTTGTAATAACTATGAAATTAATGATTTAATGCTAACAATATTTTTTTTTAATTTTAACAAATTCTACAAATATAACACTGAATAAATAATAAAAAGGTCTTACGAGTAACAAATAAGATGGTTCACACCAATATATAGGAAATAAAATATTAACGTTTCATATCTCTCTTTCTGGTGTCAAAAAATTGATTGTAATGTCACTACGTTAATAGGCTTAAATTAGTTATGTTTTGAAGAAAGTTTTTTAAATTTCATTACAACAATTTAACAACAAGCAGTGACATTATATATATATTACATAATAATAAACATAATTTTATACGATCATATACGATTTAAACTTAATTTATGCTTATTGCTAAAAATAAATTTCCAACTGGGCAACTTTCAAATTTGATAAGCACCCTTAATATACTAGTTATAAATAAAATAAACCACTTATAAGTAGAATAATAATAAATATATATTGCTGGGGACAGAGGAAGTAATTATTATTAAATTAGACGAAAAAGTGAAATTGTTAGAAATAAAATCAGCGTGTAATACTCTATCATAACACTAACCTACGAATAAGTAACTCACATTAATTTTTTTTTTTTTAACAACACTTTTATTATAAGCTACCTATAAAATAAATCTATGACCAGAATTAAAGTAGTTTACTTTTAGTTAAACGATAGGATAAATTTAATATTATTACGAACTGAAGGAATAAACATTTATTGAGCATTAAATGCAATATTTTCAGGCTTGTTAAAGCGCAGTAAACTTAAGATTTGGATAAGTTAGGCATGATAACATTGAAATTTTAACAAATCATTGAGGTTAACAGGCAGGGAGGGGGCGATTACTGTATTTTATTAAAAAATAAAAACACACATCAACTTTGGTAAAAAAAATAATAAAAAATAAAATAAAATAATATCAATAATAATAACACAACAAAATACGGAGAACAAATGATTTGCACAATGAGCCTAAATTTGTTTATACAATACAGCTAGTATACCATTATTGAACTTGAATTATTCCCATTTACGTGTGGGAAACTTTCAATTTCATTTTTTATGGAGTAAAAAATACAATAAGCAGTAAGTATAACACTGTTTCAGCTGGACCAAAACAACAAATAGCTGTTTTCATTTAGTTATTTGTTAACAACTATGATAAATTTTTTACTAAAAACATAAATAAAAATTGGTCTGGCAAACCTAATGCATCTGTATCTAAAACTTTTATTCCTTACTTATGACCTTTGTTTAAAATGTGTTATTATTCATTTAACTGTCAAATTATTTCCGGTGTCGTACATCACCACCGCTGTGGTCGTTAGCATTGTTTCTGAAATGAGTAATAATAATAAAAAAAAAGTGAAAACAATATTATAATACCAAAAAAAGTCTTAAAGATAAAAATATTATGTCAAGGTACCTATAACATTATGTCATGAAATGTATATCTAATCAGAATTTGCTACAATGAAAACCTAATACATTAATCTTTACAAAACACCAGTATTCTTGTAATAGTCTAGCTGTAATTCCATATCATGAGAAAGTTAAAAAAATAAAAAAAACACAATATTCACCACTATTAAAACTATACAGTATAAGCTACATTTATGACCCATTAGTTTCAATTTAAGATAGAAAAAAAACAAGGTTTCTTTACATAATATATTCCATGTACAAATAAAGCTCATCTTACTTACGTCTCTGGCCCTTGGTCGGTGTCACTTTCCTCAAATTCGGCCTTGTTACGTTTCTTCTCATATATAAATATAACCAAACACAGAACAATCACTTCAGCACAAATACCCAAGAACGGCCACAATGCAGCCATTTTGTCTATAACATAACAAAAAAAATAACCAATCAAATAAAACAAAGCATTAACTTCCTGAGTCTTTTATTTATTACCTTTAATGCGCACGTAGGAAGGACCAGAATGTACAGGCTCATAGACAACACTATTCTTTCCACTGCAGATGAAATTTCCTCTATCTTTCATTGTGATCGGATCCAAAACTAAGATGGCATTGGTAATATTCTTTTTGTTAGGTAAAAATTTAATATGTTCAGAAGGCACAAGAGTGGTATTTTCTAAAACAAAAATGAATTAACAGTTAGTTAAAAATTGGAAATATAAAAAATTATAATATTTCTTATACTTACCAAATTTCCAACTAACTTCTGGTGTAGGTACACCATATACAATGCATTCCAATTCCATTTTTTCACCCTCGATAAATGTAGCTGTTTTTGGCAGTTTCATGTAAGGCTTTACTATAACAAAAATACAATGTCTTAAGCATTTTATTTATTATTAATTAATATTAACAATATATATAAATATATTATGTAGGTACACTATTACAGTTTAAATCAAATATTAAATCACATAAGTACATACTGGAGATAAAATTAGAATAATCTCATTACATATATACTATCATAAAGTGAAATACAAAAATGAAATCCATTTAATAATATTGAAATCAAAAATAGATGAGTATTTGTCAATTAAACCCAGTATCAGAAGGCAATAGTAAAAGTGGTTATATGGACTAGTAATGTAAGTAATATGTTGTACAATACAACAGTCCATGACAATTATGTACATACAAATATGAAACACAAATAGAGCATACTTTTAAACAAGTATAATCTTTAAAAAATAAAATCTTATTAAGGGCAAACAGTTTTATTCACAACTTAGTATGAGATTACTAGTTGTTAGTTTATAAAATAAAATGTATATCAAACAATATTTTACTAATTTAACAAGGTAGGTTGTACGTCACAAGTTATTTATTTTATATCTCCTATAGAAATTAGATTTGAGAAAATAAAAAAATATTGATTTAAATATGATATAACATAATATACTAACAGACAACGTTGAACACCTTCTTGTCAATTGGACTATTCTTGGAAGAGAATAAGCTGCATGTATACTGACCAGCATCGTTTTCAACAAAACGATTAACTACCAGAGTGTTTCCAGACACATCAACGTGGTGTGGGTCTTCAGAGTCAGTTGTTATTTGATTGTCACCTTTAAACCTAAAAAAGAATAATTAGTAGGTAATTATTTATAATTAAATATATAGATAACAGTAGATAAAAGTATATACTGACCACTTCCATATGTACTCTGGATCTTGAGTGCCATCAATATTACAAATTAGTGTTAGTTTGCTTTTATATTCACCTATTTTATGATTATCGCCATAGTCATAGTTTGCTTTTATAGTTGCTTGAGCTAAAACAAAATAATAAACAAAAACATGAATACATAGGAACTAAAAGTTATTGGTAATTGTTTTTTAGGATATTTTAGATATTAAATGAATATCTAATGTATAGGTCATTAATATTGGATTTTAAACAACATAATATACAAATTACATATATGCATTAGTAAAAAAAAATCATATTATGAATGTCTGAAAGGTTTAATGTTTTATATAAATATATGTATATTTTATTTCAAATGCAAAATCTATATAACAAATAATGCAAACAATAAAAACCGACAACAGTAATGGGTTAATACCTAACACAATGATAAATCTAATCTATATGAGATGTCGCAGTATACTGGAAAGTGTGTCTAGTCGCAACAGTTAATTTATATGCGAGCCAAAAATGAAGCGAGGCGAACCGGTCCGGGCACATGGACATTTATTTTAAAAGCTCATCATAGCCGGCACGTACCGGTAACCACATTTAGTACATGAAACTTGTTGTACTGTGTTGTGCATCGATAGGCACCCGAATGCATCGAGGATGCAGAATTGGCCGTAATTGTGGATACAAACATATTCTCATTAGTTACTGCCTCGCTGATATTGTAGTGTTCACCAGTAACCAGGGTGTGACCATCTTTTTGCCATTTTATGACTTGGAACATTGACACACGACATGTTATCTTAAATGGGTCGCCATCCCTCACTGTTGTATTACCCTCGTAACTGGGCTCATCAGCTAAGTAGTCCAATTTCGTTTCCGAAACAAACAAACATATTTTTCATACCCCAAAGCCACCGAACATTGAAATAAACAAATTAACAAAAACTAAATAATTAAGAAATATAGTTGTGCTTAATAATTTAATTGTTGAATAACTTAAAAACTTTATAGCTATGTACATTTATGTAGTTAAGTAATTTTAGCATATCTACACCTATAAAAACATACTAAATTCCTAAAATATTCCCTAACATCACATCAACTAGATACTTAAATATAATATATTTTTCACTTTTAAAATTTAGTCTATATGTGTACATAACCTAATAAAGCTATGATAAAGTAGGTGAAGTATCTTAAAGTTAACTTTCTTTGGTTATGTGTTGCGTGTATACCTAGTTAAAAACATTATTTATTGTTTATTGTAAAAATGTGTATACCTAATATAATATATTTTAGGCGCCTACTTATAACAAATATCTATCAATAGATATGTAGGTACTTATTATAATATTTTAAAAGCCAGATAGTTAAAATTATTTGAAATTTTAATGTATTACCTATATACCATTATATATCTTTTAATAGAATATTTTTAATAGGTACCTGGGTAAAAAGGTTTATATCGTAGTGTTAATACCTAAGTCTATAAGAAATAATACCAATAGGTATTAAATAATACCTAAAGTAAGTAGTCTAGTCGTAATACACCACCCATCAGCATCCTACGTATAATAGGTCATAGTAGATGAAGGAAATATTGCACTTCTCGTTAATATCTAGTACCTATATTATTGTATACATACATAGATATATTTATTTATTTTAAATGAGGTAATAGATACCTGAAACCATTTTAATTTGTGGTGGTTTAGATTAAATGTATATAGGTATTTCAAGTCAGTGTAAAATGATTGCTACGATACTTTTAAGGGGTGAGACATTTATTGGTTTTTAAGAACTAAAATTCTAATACCATTGAAATCAATTGTACCTACACACTAAACGTTCAAAACAAAGCTGTCAACAACTTGGATGGGAGTAGGCACAGAATATGAAGTAGGTAGCAACAGTCTATTTAGAACCATATAGGGAGTTATGTGCGTTGATGGTCGGCACTAATATTAGAACGAAGAAAAAAGTCATGGGCAGGTGGCAGCATTACGACAAGACAACTTATAAAGTTACGAAACCCGGTCATAAGAGAATAAAGTTGTTCTTGGGGTTACGGTGCTACAGCACACCAGAGCAAAAGGAAACTCATCAAACATTTTAAATCATTTGTTTATTTTTGAACGATGCGGGTAAATCGGGTAACGCCCTAACCCTAAGCATAGTTACAGCAAAACGACATAAAAACAAAGCAACGTACCCAAGACCCTGGAGGGCCCGAAATCCAACAGGGCGCAGAAAACGACGCTGTACACAACGACACTGAGCGAATTCCAGCACATAATTCCGGATAAGTTTTCCCGGGTTTGGGTCGGCCGAATTTCTCAGCAAATCACTCTAAAACGATCGCACTGGCCGTCTAGTCGTCGCAGCCACCGCCACCGTCGCGCTCTTGGTCGTCGTCGTCGCCGCCGCCACCACCGCCGCCGCCGCCGTCGTGATCGCCGTAGCCGTAGCCGTGATCGACGATCTGAAGGTCTTCGTCACCGTCAACGTCGCCGAACGTAGACCCGAAAAAATTATAACGTAAAAAACCGCGACACCCACACGGTCACACGAGAACACAAATTAAGTATAATACCTATGTATAAAAAAAAAATTAATTTTACTCAGTCACACGCACAACTCACGACGACTTGTGTGTTGTGTCGTTGTGTGTGTTTGGTGCGCGTGTATGCGTATGAAAAACCGTACGGACTACGGACGCCCGCGCGCGCGGAATTAAAAAGGCGATATTATTCGGCGGACCGTGTGTGAGTGAATGTGTGTTAGTGAGTGAGTGTATGTGTGTGGGACAGTGTGTGTATGGAACGTACGACTGCCCGTACAGTGTGTACAGCGGCGAGTGGAACGTATGTGTGTGTGACTGAGTGAGTGAACGAGTTTGCGAGTGAGTGAGTGAGTGAGCGCGTACGTGTGTGAGTGTGTGTGGTGTGTGTGTCTGTATTACGGTGTTCAGTCGTCGGAGAGAGGTAAAATAGGCTAAAAATTTCCTTGTGCCCCGCGGAACAGGGCCGTCAGAAAATAACTCGAAGGGAGAGAAGAGACGACGACGACACACACGCACAGATGCGGCGACTGAGAGAGAGCGACTACGAGGCCGCCGTCATTGACTCGGCGTTGGTGCGACCGAGACGGCCAACCTCACCGCTGCGGCGGCGGCGGCGCCCTGTCGTATTGATTTGCCGCCGCTCCACGCCCCGCCTTGCGCCGCGACAGCGTAATCGTCGCGTACTATAGCCGTGGCCGCCGCCGTCGGGCGCTCGACAGTGGTACCGCGGTCGTCGGATCGAAATTATTCGCACGAAACACGGCGGAAAACACCGCATCCGCCCCCGGTACGGCCGCTACGGTCTCGCGCCGAAAGTTCCTACATGGTTTTTCCGTTTTTCCGACCAGCGAGCTCCTCCCCATCGTTGCTGTCGCCGACCTCGAAATTCAACCGGAGAGCCGCTCCCCCCACCATGTGCGTGTATTCGCTAACCACGTCCCGGGCACTGCCACTACCCGCCCCGCCAAGTCATCGAGCCCGCTTGCCGAGCGCCACGGCCGGGCGGGACGACCGACCGGTACACGTCAGCCAAACCGTAGGTCGTGTCCCCTTTGTTGGGTAGGTTGGGGGAAGGTAGTGAGCGCTTGCGCGATCAGTAAGCTCCTGTGCGCTCGCTCTCTCTGTTTCGTCTACAATTATCCCCATAACCGTATTTCTCTCTCATTATCGTTATTTCTCCTCCACTCATTCATCCCCGTCATCGACTCACTCCCACCCAGAGTAGGTCTATTTTCTTTCCACTCCTCCCTCATCGGAGTATTCAAGTTCCTGGCCTCCCGTATTATACCTTCGGTGGTTTAATAATATTATAATAAATAATTAATAATAATATGTCATATGTGTAAGACATTGACAACGATAATAAATAATAATAATAATACTTGAATCATGTACTTAGGGGTGGCGGATGAGTGGTGTGGAGGGGCACGGATCGGGACGGATCGCACGACGTGACGTGTATACGTCATACCCATATAATACAATATATATGTTTTATATGTCTATGGTCATACCTGTCCTGATTATGTTCAGTGGTGGAAGGGGGTTGGAAGCTTATGGAAAGTCACAGCGCAACGGCAATGGTGTTCCGATAACGCACCCGCTGCCGCGTACACTGCAACGTAATCGGCCGCCGGTGGCACGAACACACACATATGGGTCAAAGTGTGTGTACATACGAACGTTGTCGTCGGACGATCGACATGCAGTCTGCCGCCGTCGCCGCCGTTTATATTTATATAACCCCGACTGCGACGGAATTTTTTTTTAGATGTTTAGACGCAAAGAAAATAGCTTCATGAATCTCATTAATGGGCACTGGCTAGTGAGATTTTCACTGCCATTTCAAAAGAACACTCTTAAACGCGTTTGGGTTTGACACAGAAACTGTGTCCGTCAATCGAATGCGTGTGACACATCAATGGATCATATTTTAGATTCCGCATTAACCGTTGCGCGTCGCCACAGTTTCTCCGATATCGGTTTAATATTCCGTTCAATATCGATCGCTCTCTAATTGTCAATAACCTCTACACAATATGATTTGATATATTTTTGTATTACTGCCTTGACATAAGCAGGACGTGTTCAATCTAGTTTTAGGCATTGGGTATAGGCGATAGACCGATTGGTGTGTGCACTATAATACTGATACACATAACCTTTACAGTTTATATTGTTATTGACGCTCCATTACACCTGCTCATAGAACTGTGCCAAAATCTCTCTTAATATTATTGCATCGATATTTACGAGTAAAAAAAATTAACTGTTCAGTGTTCAATAATGGAGAGGGGCGCACTGTTACTACTGACTACTGCTGGAGGCTTAAATATATTGGCAAGGGTAACTCTCGACAATTTAAGTGGGTAAAAACCACCCTAGGGTTATAAAAAAAATATACAGTATATAGTATATTAATATTATACACTTAAGGTATACACTACGGGAAAATATAGGGAGTAGAGACTTAAGAGTTAAGAGGGACGTCAAACACCCGTTTTTTTAAGGGTTTTTATTTTTTAAATAGGCAGATTCATTGATTTTTATATTAAAAATTAAAGAAATTATTTATATTTAAATAATTAATATATTATATAACTAAATAGGCATAAAAATATATTCAAAAGATAAATCATTTTTTAATACAAATAATTGGGATGTAATGTATTGAAAATTAAAAATTGTTCAGTAGGTATATTTAATTCTCTAAAATGATGAAAAATTTAAAATGATTGATACCTATCATGAACTAAGGTAGTTAGATAGTTATTTTAGTTCATTGGACCTAATTCTTATAATACATCATAGATTAAATTATCTTTTAGTTATGATAACAATTCTGTCATTCTATTGTATACTTTAAATGTTTATAAATTTAAAATCGTTCATAATTAATAATAGCCATTAGGTAATCGTAAGTTACCGTATCATATCGTAGCATGGGCAGTTGAAAGTGTAAACTTATAAACTATCTCGTACCTAATAAAAACAGTCGATTGCAAACTCGGCTCGATAATTTTTAATGATAAAATATAATAAATTCGACACAACTTAATCGGAAAATATAAATAACACATTTTAATTCAACTTTCCCAAATATATATTCCGTCATAACCAAATTAAAATAAATACAAACCAAAACCTATATTAAGATAAACGGTCTAATAAATTGATCAATTTAAATAATGGATAATGTCCAGTGGTTCTCAAAAATAGTTTAAGGTAATTACTAATTAGTTATGAGCCGTGATTACACATCAATCATTTTTACCTGAAAAAAATCAGAACAGAGTTTACAACAGACTTTTTCAACTTTTATTTTTCTTGAAACAAGTTTACAATCTCTCATCTAGTATATTGTTCTATTATAAAAAAAAATAGGTTTAATATAATAATTGTGAATTAGCTATTAGTTATTGCATGTCATATGATAGTATTTTTGAATTTTGATTATGACTCATAAATTATAAGTTATATATTAGTATATTTCTTATGCTTTATAGGTTATAAGTATATAGATAATCATTATTAATTATTATACAAAATAAACACACTGCACAGTATTGTACCTGCAGTACATAACAGTATTTTAATATTTAATACTAAACAAACGAAAGTTACTATGTTAATTAAGGTTGAGTTCAGTAATCCATATTTTGTTGTTTTTTGTATAATTGAAGGGTTACGAGGAAAAACGATCATAGTCAAAAGAAAGAAAAAATCAAATAATTATAGTAGTATAGACAGTATAGTACCTTTTGGTTAGTTTCATAACGAATCGACACGTGAAACGAGTTATTAAAAAAAGATCACGGTCAATGGTATAATACAGGTTTAAATATTACCATAATGAGAAAAAAAGGTCAGAGTCCCAATTTCAAACTGCGATACTGAACATTTTAGGAATTATTGACTATCATCGTTTTTCCCCGTAACCCTTCAATTACAATCTATAAAAAGTGTAAACTGAGAAATGAGAATCAATCAAAATTTGTGAATCAATATTAATTGCCATTTAACATTTGTTTTTAAAAACATATAATATGGTTATTGATGTTTACAATTAATAATATTTTTATAATATCTATTTCTGTATTGTTCTATACTTCTATTTTAGATTGTACCCATTACCTATACTGGCTATACTAGTGCAACACATTTTTATTTTTAATATTATTATTTAGATATATGTTTTGAAAATTTAAATCATGATGCACTGATTTAACAAAATTGTTTATTATGTACTATAAAGTTCGAGTGTTATTTGACTGCAGACCCCTAACCAGTGTTGCGGATTTGAGTTTACCTAGATAACATCTACAATCTACTTATATTGTATATTATTCAAATAAATAATTTGATAGAAACAACAAATTAAATACCTATGAACAATAACTTTGAATTGTCATGAAATTATTAAAAATAATAAAAACTATTCTGACAAGAGTGGCCCCAACCCTCTCTCCAGAAAGTATTTTTTAAAAGCGTGAAAATGTTAAAAGTTAAAAATATAAATATAACTGATCTTGTGTGTTTTAATATTTATAGGTACATTTGAACAAAGCAGTGGCATAATTTCAATTTTTTTGTAGTACGTATATTTTGATGCAGGCGACAATTAACCCTGTTTAGAATTTATCCATTTTTTGGGCCAACCAATTTTTAAGAAATTGGCCAAATCACAATAATATCAGATTATAAAATAAGCAAATGTATTGATTAAATGAC